GATAGCAGCCTTAGATTAACAGTAAGTAAGCGAATAAGTGTGGTTGAATTTCATTAAAACTTTATTTATGGTGGATTGGCAACTATGTCATGTAAGTCTACTTTTCTAAAAATTTCCATGTCTCTCTACTTTTTTCATATTCTTTCTAATGTAATGTTTGCCCGTTTCTTCTTGTTAGACCTACGTATTTCTTGTTAGAGATAGTCTTAGGGGTGTCAGAGTTACTGTTGTTGGTGCAAAGAAACTTAATGTAATTTGCAATCAGAGCATATGGAATTGTCTTATTAGTCATAAAAGTTACAATTGATTATTTTAAAAGACTTCCACAGAAGCTGATAAAAATGTCTGTCTACAATACAGGTGCATGCTTATCTCTTCCTGTGGTGAGATTTCTAGAACAACGTTGGGCAACGTGGGCAAGAATGCCTTTTATCTTATTTTTCACTTTCCAAGACTTGTGATTAATGGCTACATTTCTGGTGTATTCTTCCTGTAAGTGAATAAATCCTAGTTTATTGGGAATATTTTCATCATCACAAATTCGAACTGAATTCCTGGAATCACTGTAGACTTTTTTTTATTGAAGTAGGGAATTACATTTTCTTATATATTCTGAGCTGTTTTTGCTCTTATTCTCCTTGGTTCTGAGACCAAGGAGACATATTTCTAATACAACATCTTTGAAATGCTTTTCCCAGGGCTTAATTTGTACCAATGTACTTTCTTCCTCAGAACCATCCAAGTGATTCGATATTGAGCTCCAGACTGAGCACACTTTCTATTCGAAATGTTAAATGCTGATGCCCTTGACTTTGTCTCTGTCTGCTGCCTCTCTGATTCTCATAATGAGAAGGTCATTTATTTCTTAATTTCTGGTGACCTTTGAGAAAAATTCCCTATCCTTTCCGTTACAAATGTTACTGTGCTCTGCTAGGGTTACTTTCAAATTCATTGTTCATTCTATAGTTGTCCTTAAATTGCTTGGTACGTATTGAGCCCTTTTATAACAGAACACATAAATCCAATTTTCTTTTGCTTGTATTTTTCCTGTTTGAATTTTGTTTTCTTAATTTTATTATTTCTCTTTCCTTATCTGCTCATCTCTGTTTTAGGCATTTTGCTTCAGTGGAGATGACTAGTTGACTATAGCTATTTTAATATGTCCAGAACCTTCCCTTATATATATATAATTTTATTGTGAAGGTTTTACAGAGGGGTTACAGTTACATAAGTAAGGCAATGAGAACATTGCTGTCAAACATTGCCACCCCAGCTCTCGTTTTCCTCCCACTTTCTCTCTCCCCCAACCCCCGCCAAATTGTAAAGTTCACTTCCAACATGGTGTCTGTGAATATCACTGTTTGTTCACCCTTTGTCCTTTGTCTCACCATTTTGTTATTCTCCTTCCCTTCCTCAAATCAGATAAACATATACACACACACACACACACACACACACACACACACAGGGTATGAAAATAAAAAAAAAAGTAACATCAGGGGATAAAACAAAGGAAAAGAAAAAAGGAAAAAATGAGAGAAAAAAGAAATAACTTCACACAGTACAACAACAACAACAAATCTTGGAGTTCATTTCAATTAGCATCATTTTATATGGTCATATGTACATAGCTATTGAGTTATTGTGAACTTCTGCTAGGACTAGATGTCCTAGACATATACTAATGATTACTAATGAGAGAAACCACTGACCTTTCTCTGGCTTACTTCACTTAATATGATTTTTTTCCCAACTCTTTCCACTTCCTTATGAATGGGGTGATGTCATTCTGATGGAAGCATAGAATTCCATTGTGTATATAAACCATCCAGTAGATGAATGGATCAAGAAAATGTGGCATATATATACACAATGGAATCCTTTTATATATTCTTCATCCTATATCATATTTGTTAGGTGATCTCTACTTTACCTTTCATTTCAGGGATTCAGTCTTCAAATTTGTCCATTTTTTCAGACCTTGAACTGACTACTTAAAAATTGTTTATTAATCAATACATGAAAAGTTAGATAGAAGTTTTTTTTTCTAAAAATTCACAGATTGGTTGTTGATTTCCTTAAAAAGAAATTGAAGCCAGTTTTTTGGTATGGTCCCAATTCTTGAATCTCTCTAAAAGTTTGCAGTTAGTTATGAATACTCCATGTATTACTTCTCTTTTCTCTAGGTTGGTTGTTTGGTGTATGCAAGGTGCCCTTTGCATTCAGGCTTTAGTTGTCTGTTCATACCTAACAATGAACCACTAGCTTTGCTTTCAACATAGCTGGGGTGGGAGTCTTCTGTGGGAAGGCTCTAAATGGAATCATTTGAGTTGAGAGACTGACACAGGCTTAACTTTGGGAAATATGGGTAGAAATGTGTAGGCAGGCTGGTGACTCATTGCTTGCAATCTTTGCTACTCAGGAGGCTGAGATCTGAGTTTGAAGCCAGCCCAGGTAGGAAATTTCATGAGATTATCTCCAATTAACCACCAAAAAGTTGGAAGTGGAACTGTGGCTCAAGGGGTAGAGTGCCAGTGCTTAATAAAAAGGCTTAGTGAGGGCTGGGAAGGTGGCTCAGTGGTGGACAGCTTGCCTTGCATGCATGAGGCCCTGGGTTCTATTCCTCAGCACCACATAAGCAGAAAAAGTCAGGAGTGGAGCTGTGGCTCAAGTGGTAGAGCGCTAGCCTTGAGCTAAAGAGCTGAGGGACAGTACCCAGGCTGAGTTCAGGCCCCACAACCCCCCCCTCCCCACACACACACACACAAAGGCTTAGTGACTGTTCTTGCCCTGAGTTCAAACCCAAGGAATGGCACCAAAAGGAAAAAAAAAGAAAAGGAAAGAAAAAAAGAAACCCACATAAGCAGATAGAAGACCTCTATAAATACCAATAAATAAAGGATTTAGATGCTTTCATTCACTCTCCTTATTATTCTTGAGTAGAGCTGACTAATTTTTGTTATTTTCTTGCAGTTATGATTTACAAAGTCTGGGATCATCGTGGAATCTGCTCCTCTGGCTTGCCCCAGAGTATATTTTGAGTGTCTTCCTACGTTAACATTATAGGTTCTTGGTATAAACCCTGGGCCTTCAGCCGTCAGCAGTTTATGGAACTTAAGCTTCTTGTTCTGCATCTACAAAGTGGTCGTAAAAACAGAACTTGTTTGAGAAGGTTGTTGTGAAGTTAAATAAAACAAGCTTTGTAAAATGGCCTGTAAAACTGGCCAGGACATGCTTCCTTTCTTCCCTTCTCCCTGTTGTCTCTTTTTTCTCTCTTAGTACTCACTGTTCCCTTTCCCCTCTGTTCTTTCACTTTCCTTCTTCATCTTACATTTGCATTTCTTATCATCATCATCATCCCAGTCACAGACACTGAACAAAAAACTCAGGGGCTGTACCCAAGTCCTGAGTTCAAGCCCTGGCTAGGATGAGCACAAACAAACACAAACTAAGCACACAGACACACAGACACACAGACACATGGCCACACACACAACCCCCCAAAAAAGCACTTGTTACCAAACGTTTACTCACTCTTTGGCCTTGCAGTGAAAATATTTTGAAAACAGCTATGAATGTGCCTCTACAAGCCTTTATTGCTTCAGTAATGTGGATGTGAAAATGTTAACAAACAGGGTCTGAGGTTCAGAAGTGAATCTCAATGTGAATATGCATCAGCCAGGTGAATGCAGCAAGGCAATGTCCCTCCTGCTTTAATGTCCCGAGCCTCAGCCTCTTCTGTGCAAAGAGTACTAAAGAAAATGATGTACCTCCATCACTTTGTCCAGCATGCCCAAATGAAATGGCCATCCTTTTCCTCCCATTCCCACCTCCCCGGCCCCTTTTTTCCTCTGGTAAGCTATCCTATGGGGATTGGGCTGATGCACAGGCCTTGTATTTAATGGACCTTGAGCTTGGTTTAATGCTCATTGTTGTGACTGTCATGTAAACTTAAAAAACAAACCACGTGACCAAGGAGGTATTTCCTATGCATTAGGCCCTACAAAGGATGCAGCTGGTCATCATGCATGCTGTGATCCAATTCAAGAATCTATGTTACTGTCTTTCCAGTAGGCAAAGAAGAATCAGGTTCCTGAGGACAGCAACCTGAGGAGCTCTGGCCAGTCATGACTTGAGCATTCACAGCATGACTGCGACTCAAGTTCCTAAAGCAACAGCTGGTGGGGGCTCCCTTGGATTCCCTGTGGTGTTTCTAACTGGAGCTCCAACCTGACACACTTGCTATTTTCTGTCATGGTCCCTAAGGTACCCTTCTGCAAGGTTTTGGAAAGAAAGCAACGTTCAGGCTTTGTTCATGGTGTGTGTGTGTGTGTGTGTGTGTGTGTGTGTGTGTGTGTGTGTGTGCTGAACATAAGAAATACACTAGAAATATATGGCAAATGGCTGGCTCATGCTGTGGATGGCCCACAGTAATTCTGGCTACCTGTGCAGTGCCAGAAGCTATAGCCAGACCTCTTACCTAAGGTGGAGGGAATGTCTGCAGAACAGCTTGTCCTCCAAATAACCTGTGGATAAACAATTAGTTGTGTGACTACCTCATTTGCAGAGTAGATATACACTTTCTGTCAAGGAGGGGTCTATCAGCCTGTACTAAGCTTACTTATTTTATTTCTGTTTCTTGAAAAAGGGCCTCATTTTGTAGCCCAGGTCTGGATCTTGAAATCCTTCTATCTCAGCCTCTTGAGCTGGGATGAGGTGTGTGCCACCAGGCCTAGTTACTGATCTGATTTTATCTTTTAGCAAAACTATTTACAAAATTCCAAATCTTGGAGCATGAAAAACAGAAAGTGAATATGTTGGGAGAGCAGGACGGGTAAGTAATATGCTCCCAAGGCCTTGTTCCTATTCCTCAGCTGCTTTGGCTCACAGATCTCTGCTCTTTCAGAGCTACCCTCAACTAATGGGACTTTCCATCTGAGGTCAGACCTGACCATTACAAAGTTTAAAAATCACATTGCTTAAGACAGAAACAGCGTTGTGTGTGCTTTGTGCTCCAGAGTCCTGGGATATGATCAGGCTGAGGTGAAACTTTGGGTGAGACCACATTCTTGTCTAACCTGCTTTCTTCCTCATCTGTTTCTCCAGAGAGGACACCCTCCATGCACTACATGCTCTGGTTTAAGATAAGGTAAGAGATAACAACAACAAAAATCATACTTTTTGCAGCTACTGCAGCTCATATGCTGGAAGAAGGCATCCTCAGGCCAGTCCTAGATGAAATGTCCTTCCTTCACTTCACCCTCCCTTCATCTTCCTCTCTCCCTTTCTTCCCTCTGTCTCCCTTCCTCCTTCCTTCTATTTGTTCTCCATATTTCCCTTCTTTCTTTTGCTTTCACTTAAAAAAAGACCATATCTTTGTAGATGACATTAAAATATAGTCTTATTACAATGCTCATGTACTAGCAGGGGGCATTTCAGTCTGACCAGTGGGGTCATGGTCAAACCTGACGCTTTCATGAGTTTCCTTCTGTCTTGTAGCTGCTATCTAATGTCTGTAAAACAGATGCCTGGGCAAGATCCAGGGTCTTTGAGAAGTTGTCCATCAGGCTCTGGACAGATTTATAAGTAAAAGTCCAATTAAGAAACAGGAAGGATCATGAAACTAGATGGCTTGGCATTTTGCTCCAGGCTCCTGATATACAAGTTTAACACAATTGCCAACATAAGTGATTTAGAAAAAAATGATTGATTTAGAAAAAAATCAATTATGGATTTTTTTTTCAGTTTGGTAGATGGAGAAGTCATTAGAAGCAGACAGCTTATGTAAGAAGCCTTGCCAAAATAACTTTAACCATAAGAAGAAATCAACAAATAACAAAGGAAAGAGGATATATATCTTCCTTGGACAAGTTCATAAAATCCATGAAATTACAGGCACTTGGTTGATCCAGAAAAAGCATTCGCAGTGACTAAAAATAGGCACATTTGAGAAATTTCAGTGGCTTGAGTTGTAGTCCAATAAGAGTTTTACATCAGATCCTTTCTTGTATTGATGAGTAGAATCATAGGTAGCATATTTTAATTTTGTAAGCTGGATTTTTCCCTTTTTTGCTTCCTGTAACTTATTCATAGAACATTATTCTAATCACTTTCATGTGTAGGACATATTCCTGAACAGAAGAGATAGAAGTTGGATAGCGGCTAAAAAAAAAAAAATCCACTCCATAGAAACTGACAATAATGAAACTTGATCTTGGGAATTTCTTGTCCATTACCAAGTCAAGGTCATTGAAGATGGTTACCAGTGAACTGACAGACCCACAAAATAATTATCCAGCAACATTTATTAAATGAACAGGTGCCAGTGAATTCAGCTTAATAGGTTTGCTTTTTAAACAAGGTTTAAGAAACATCAAATGACTTATGGGAAATTCAGCCAACAATCAGAAAATACTTATGAAATACTGGAAGATCTACTAGACTAAGTACTAAATATAAAAACAAAACACAAGAAAACACCAAAAGACAAAGACTCAACTTACTTCTCTGATAACCCATCAGGTCCAGCGTCTGAGGAACAAGCAATTCTATCTAGTCTAACGATTGACTTTCTAATACAAAAGCAAGCTAGCAAAGGCTAAATTCAATACATAATTAAGATTTTCGCATGCATATCTAAGTCATATATGCTTTGCTTGATGAAATTTTGGTTGAATATATGCTGGAAAATAAATGAAGTAAAAGAAATCAACCATGCAATCTCATAAAAGTCATTGATCTCCAAGGTGGGGAGTTGTGCTTTTAGAATAAGATTTGTTAGGAAAGGAAGACTTTTATCAAAATGATGATCAGAGAAGTTTCTTGTATTGTGTGCATATATACACATATATGTAGCTATATTTTCCAGAAAAACTCTCTAACTAGAGAAAATTACTCTCGTCCAAGATCTTTTTACTTGACCTTTTGTTGTTTTTCAGTTTTGTAAAGAGATGACCTGTATCATAGAAGCCAAAAGTCCAACTGTTTCCTCATTGGCTGGAGCTGGCCTACTTTGCCTTCTTGACTCACAGGTAGACTTGAATATAGATTACTGGGGCTCACGATCAGTCTTGATGGCAAAGGGTCCTTTACAGGGAAAGCAACACAGAAGAGAAGCTGTGAGATTCTACAAACTGTGAGATTAAGAGCTGTGATTCTTGATACTTCTTGTCCACTCCACTGAGATTTTTAGCTCTGATCTTGGATTCTTTCTTAAATTACAGTGCTTGCTCACTTTAAATAGATGAGCAGCCAGGTAAAGATCCTCCTGATTGAACTCTAACTTTTTTCCTTTCTGATTCTGAGGAGTTGGCTCCAAGTAGGAACTAGACTCTGTACCTGTCTGAATTTTCTCTCATCTGCTCTTTTCTCTGGCTTCCTATTTCCTCTCTGTAGTCATTTAAGATGAGATTGCTCACCTCTCTGGCTTCAAATGGTCTTCATGCCAACTCATCTTTGACTTCACTATTACATGAATGGCAACTTGTATCCTTGTCTTACAAACCTAAGCCTTTCTGTCTACTTCTAAGACCTTTTGTCTGATCTCTCCAATTTTCTTTTTTCCCACGACATGTTTTTAAAAATTATCGTTAAGTAGTTATACAAAGAAGTTGCCATTTAACAAATCAGTTTATGATCATCACTCCTTTCAACCATCCCTTTCCTACCCACCTTTTCCTCACTCTTCTTAATTTTGTAGACTATACATTGAATTCTTAACCTCATTCTTCCCTTCCTCTCTTCTTCATTTATCTGCCCCATCTCTGTACAAGTGTCAGAGGCTTTCCTGCCTGCACAGGCTTTGTACCTTGATCTTCAGAATTCAGCCTCCGGAGTAACTAGGATTACAGGTATGAGCCACCAGTGTTTGGCTCTGAGGAGTTTTGTTGTTGTTGTTGTTGTTATTGTTGTTTTGTTTTTAAACAAGTGAAGATCAGAGAAGAGAGAACTTACTGGTATAATAAAATTCATGCTTGAGTGGAATAGCAGTGCTAAAGGGAATGACCTGGAAAGATAACCAATGGCAGGCATGGGGCGGCAAGCTTGCAAGTGAGATTCTGGAAAGGACAGGATCCATTCTGATGTGGACAAAGTCCTGCAAATACTCTTGGAGTTGGAGATAAGCATAGAAGGTAGAAGAGGAAGGAGATTATAGGAGGAGAAATGTTTATGGTCTAAACCAGGGCATTTGACACACTAAAGATTAGGGCAGGACTTATGGTGGTAAACCAGTATTGAGAGAAAGAAACGAACAAGAGCATGAGCCCAGAGTTCAGTACACATTCATACATAGGAGCAATAGGAGGGAATACAAAATACAAAAGACAAAGGGTTTTAGGAGGAAGGGACAGAAGGTTCTTTCTCTTGGTAAAGTAGAGATCTGAGTACTGATGTTTAATGCTTCTAATTCCAGATCCAGATCTGAAGGATCAATTTATAGAGAAATAGAGCTACAAAAGGGAGTGTTTCTGGGATGAAAGCCCCAAAGTTGTCTTCTTGAGACCAGATGGGATGAGATTGAGATTGGAGGAAGGTCTTATAGCTCTCCTGATACAAACATTCAGAGCTGTTATGAAGAATTACATGAGATGGACAATTTTCTGGCAAAACAAAAACTAACAAAATTGAATCAAGCCAATTTGGAATGACATAGAACAGAATAAAAAAACAGAAAAAATGTTTTCCATTTTTATTTTAAGACAGGTGCTAGGTTTATATATTATTGGCAACATTTACCCCCAACACACTCAAAGAAGAGATTCATTCTGGCTTCTACAAATTGTCCCACGGAGGGAAATTAAAACAACTTACCCATAGGCATGTTCTCAATCAGTTTTTTTTCCTTCAAAAACTTGACATTGTCTTTAAATTAGTCTTACCAAGAACACAAAAATGACAGATATATTGTAGTCTCCTATATGTATATGGATGCAAAAATAATAAATCTTGGCAACGAAAGCTCAGGAGTTAATTTAAAAAAATCCTCATGGCCAAGTTGGACTTGTTCCAGGAATGTCAAAAGAGTTTAATATTAGGATATCTATTAATACTATCCATCAGATAAAGAGGCCAAAGGCCAAACTCCAACCACATGACTACTCCAATACTTGCCAAAGAGTCATTTGGAACTACTTCATGTCCAGTCCTGGCATATTTTTAGTAGGCCAGGCATCTTACTTATCTTTAATACAGAAAAGTTAGTCTCACTTTTAATTGTGGATGTAAGTGGGAAGCTTGGAATTTGTGCAGAAGGGGGATTTTACAACAGGGTATTGCTGGAAGCAGATTTGTCTTGATGTTGAACTTTCAGAGCATCATGAGCTATATCTCTGTGTGGTTTTAGTGGTTTCCAGAGAGATGGGTGGTAACCGTGAGTTTCCTATATGCCAACTGTCACTAGTTAGAAAGTATAAAAGAAATGATTCATACTAGTAATTTGGAGTATGAAATACCCAGGGCTATGTTCCCAATGCTCGTTCCCCTCCAATAGTTCATTTGCTGAAATCCAACACCAATGAGATGGTAATAAGAGGTAAAGCCTTTGGAGATGAGGAGATCATGAGCAAGGAATCCTTGTGAATGGGTGTGTGTCCATATAAAAGAGGCCCCACAGAGCTGGCTTGCCCCTGGCTCCAGGAGAGGAGCAGCTATAGAAGGCATCAAGAGGAAAGGCAGGCCCACCAGGCATCACAACTCCCTAGGCTCCAGATCTAAGAGAAATGCGTTGCTATTGTTTGTGAACTAAACACACAGTTCTCAGTATTTTGGTTTAGGACCCCAACAGATTCAGATACTAAGAAAGTGACTAATGGAGAATTAAGCAGAATATATATGTATATATTCTGTAATACATATAAGTATAAAGACTTTTAAAATACCAGTAAGAAATGGATATATATTACCAAATGCACAAGGCTATGAACTGGTAATCCATGAGAAATGAAAAGACAGATAAAAGAAACCTTCCTTAGTGAATGAATGTAATTAAATAAAAATAAAATTAAAAATATAAATATGTAAAAATATAGCATATATAAATAGATAAAAATGATACATATACTTAAAAATTCCCAAGCATCAAGGAGAGATATTAAAAAATATTTGAAAACTAAGTCAATATATGATATGTCTGGATAAGAAGTCTCATTATTGCTAAGATTTCATTAAATAATCTTAGAAGTTGCATGCAATTACTTTCAACATATTATTCATTTTTTTCTTTTGGAAATTTTAACTTTTATCTGATACAAATGTATATAAAATTGCACATATTTCTGCAACAGCATGTAATATTTTGATACATGTATATATTGTATAAAGTCTAAATCAAGATAAACATATCTTCTTTCTCAAATGTTTATTCTCATTTCTTCAATGTACAAAATTGTAATTGTATAGAACTAAGAAGTTCTGGTGAACTATTGCTTAGTAGGGTGACTAGAGTTAGAGATTATGTTTTACATATTTTGAAAAGTCAGAAGAAGGGATTTTGAATGTTCTCTTGCACAAAGAATGTTTTAACCAAGGTATTATTATAACCTGAGAGGAAAACAAAACAAGTATAGATAGATAATAAAACACTGAACAGTGTGTTGGTGTTATGAATTATCAGACTGTATTATAAAGCTACAATAGTTTAAACACAGTAGCCATGTAAAAAGTACTGTACAGGGGAGATCTAAGTGCAAAAATAAATTTACAAGTCATTAGAATATAACAGATGACTCTAAATGAGAAGCCAGCACATATTACCATCTATTACATAATAAATGTAGCATTTCAAATCAAGGAAGAAAGAATAAATTGTTCAAGAAATGATTTTTAAAATACTGATTAATCATTTGGAAAAAATAGATTTCTTTCATATCTCATAATGACACAAATTCTAGATATATTAAGATGATAAAAATAAAATGTATATCGGAAGGCCCTAGAGAAACATATGTATGAGTATTTTTCTGCTCTCAGAGTGGAGAACATTTCCTAAATATAAATGAAAGGAAGAATGTGTACTCAACTATGGTTGGGACATTCCATGAAAAAGGAAATGTTGAAATGTAATAGATTGTAACATGTAATATGTCATAATGTGTTACAATACATAATATATTGAAATGCAATAAACAAAACTGGAAAGTATTCAATCTGGATAAATGTTTGTAATACATATAAATATAAATAAAGATTTTTATAATATCAATACACACATAGATGGATGTTATTAGAATTAAACATTAGGGAAACTGAAGCTTAACCTACAATGTGATAGCACTTAAACTCATAATAAAAGCAAAAACCAAAACCCCAAAACCAAACCAACCCAGAAAATAATAGGTGTTGGTGAAGATGTGGAGAAATTGGAAGCAATTCCTCAAAAAATTAAGCATGAAATTACCATATGACCCAATAATTCTTCAAAAGAAATAAAGGAAAGGATTAGAACACATGCTTGTATACTATTTACACAGTAGTAATATTCGTAACAGCCAAAAAGGTAGCTCCAAAACACAAGTGTCTATTTTTTTCTCCAGTACTGGATTGACACCAGGACCTCTTATAAGCACTCTCTCACATAAAACTCACAGTCCTTTGGGTTTTGTGATAAGATCTTGCTAACTTTACCTATGCTGGTCTCAGACTTGAAATCTTAGCCTCCCGAGTAGCTGGGATTATAGTCAGGTATGACTGTGCCCACCCAGCGCAGAAGTGTTTACTGATGCATGGATGGGTTAAAAAAATGATATATGATATATATAATATAAATTTATACATGTGTGATGAAATACTGTTCAGCTCTTAGAAAGGAGGAAATTTCATATATGGCACAACATGGCTAAACTTTGCAGACATTGGGTAAAATAAAAGGAAAAAAACTATCAGATTCTTTTGTAGAATGTAGTCATACTTATAGAGAAGGAAAGTAGATGTGTGGTTGTCAGGGTCTGAAGGAACAGGGACTAGAGAATTCATGTCGAATGAATAGAGTCCACAGGGGATAAAGAGTTGTAGAGATAGATAGCAGTGATGGTTACTACTATGCACCAGACTTTTCAAATGTTTCAATGGGGAGCTTATGTTATACATACTTTGCCACAGTACAACAGGCCTGCTGATTATGTTTTGATGATTACTACATAGAAAATAATCTGAAAAAGAGTGACTGGACCAGAAGCAAAATGCTCACAACTCAGGTTAGACCTAAAGTGGCAAAATTAGTAAACAAAATAATTTACCTTTGTATTCATAATCACAGACATGCTTTCACATAAATATGAGATTTACATCGATGAAACAAAGAGTTGTCTTAGGCACCCCTGAACTAAAAAAAAATAACAATTATTTTCAGAGGACTTGATAAAAGCAGATACTCTAGAATGAGATCTATTACCTGGAGACCTGGTATAATAAACACATCCATTGTCTCCCAATGGATGTAATATAATCCCAATCAAAATCTTAGCAGGTGGTTTTGGGGAAATTGATTAGGAGATTCTAAAATGCACAGAAGTGTAAAGAGCCAGAGGAATTGAAAAATCAGTTTAGTCAAAGAAGACTAAAGCTTGCAGGACTTACTCTAGCTTTTAAATAAAGCCCTGCCTTAGACTGTGCCACACCAGAACAAAGATAAACAAAAATACCTATGGGGCAAGACAGAAACCTTCACATAGCTATAGTCAAAGTGGTGATGGCAAAAACAATGGTTCAGTCAAAAAAGAATATTGAAGACAAATGGAGAGAGAAAGGGTAGATGAATGTAAACATAATAGACAATGTACATAGGTGAAAATGGAGTGAGGTAGTTCGAGGGGATGGGTGAGGTGGGGAGAGATGGGGGGAATGATGCACTGTACTCACAAACTGGTATTCCAAACTGAAACCTCTTTGTACAACTACTTAAGGAGAATACAAAACTTAAATTAAAAAAAGAGATTTTTGACCCTTACTTCACATCGTATCAATAAAGCAATTACAAACGGACTGCATTTCTACCTGTAAAAGGTACATTCCTGTGGTGTGTACCTTCATGACTTTGAGGTGCACACTGCTGTTCTCTGCTCGACATTGAAAAGCAGAGCCATAAAAGGAGGAAATTAATGAACTGTATTGTAAGAAATGAAGAATGCCTGGAAAACCAGATAACCCAATAGAAACACAAAGGACAGGTTTGAACCATTAAATATATCAACAGCTGATATACTTAATTAGGAAAATTCAACTTAACATCATATTGTAATACCATTAATCACCCATGAGTGAGTTAAAATGAGCAAGATAGACAGTCCCAAGCATTGGTAACCCATGGAGAAGCTGAACAGTTATCTATTAGCGATGGGGCTATGGATTGGTATGAACACTTTGAAAAGTTGAAGGTACTTACTCTGAGTATTAATGCTGCTCCTAGTTATCTCCCTGACAGAATATTTCCTATATGACACAAAATATATACACAAAAGTGCTCATAGCAGCATGACTCAAAACAGGCAGATATAAAAAGTAATTCAACTATGCTCTGTTCCTACAGTGGAATGCTACACAGCAATGAAAATAAAAACAATGTTTGTGTGCCATGTCACAGATGAATCTCATGACAGCATGTTGAACGAA